TGAGAGCACCACCAGGAGTAATTCCTGAGTGCAAAACCAGAAGTAACCTATGAGCCTCACTAGGTGTGACCAAAAAAGCAAAAAATAATAATAAACTATTAATATCTGAATTAATAATGACCAGAGAAGTGGTTAGTTGGTGCTGAGTTTTGGAGGGAGGCACACTCACTGGTGCTCAGGGCTTCCTCCTGGTTTGTGTTCGGGGATAACTCCTGAACAGTGCATGGGGACCACATGCAATGCTGGTGATTAAACTGGGCTTGACTGTATGCACGGCAAGTGCCTTAACCCATGAACTATCTCTCTGGCCCAGTTGCTTATTGTTAGGATTTATGACAAAGATAAGGACCAAAAAACTACTCCCCCAAACAAAAAACTTTATCCTTGAAGAAAAATAGAACTAGATAAATTTTATAAATTCTTACTAGTTAAAAAGTTGCCCTTGCTTAATGTATGTTTCATTCGGGTGTTGATTTGGGGGAGGGGTGAGCCATAACCAGCAATGGTTGATCAGATTTACTCCTGGTTCTGTGCTCAGCAATCACTCCTGGCAGTGTTCAGCAGATCATATGCCACATCAGTGATCAAAAGGTTTAGTCAAGTGCAAGGCAAGCCCCTTACTCTGACCCCCACTGTTGATACTTTTTGGCATTTATATTTAAGTTAAAGTATTTTAAATTGTTTCAACTAATGAGCATTTATTTTCAGAAATTTTTAATTATGTTAGTAAATAAAATAACAGGAGAATCTTTTCTCCTTTTTCAGACAGTCTTTTTAAAAAGTAAATTTCTGCGCTTGGAGGTATAGTTCAGGAGGTAAGGCACTTGCTCCCCTGCAGCTGAGACTGCAGAGACCCTGGTTGGAAACTCCAGTGCCACGCAGGGCCCCACAAGCCACCCCAGAGGTTACTCTTGAGCACCTTTGGGTATGACCCCAAAATAAAATACAAAAAAATCAGTTCCTGTATTTATTTCTCCCATTTTTCTGTACCAGCATTATCAATGGAAAAGTATACATTGCTCTGCTTAAAAGATACATGGTTCTTAACATTGATTATTGGGCATTCCATATGTTATTTAATGTTTGTTATCTATGTCTTTGAAAACCTGTAGAAGTTCTCTACCTGTTTCCTCTGAGAAGAGACTCTAGTTTCTTAATTTTCTAGTAAATTTGAAAGACCATTAACTGAAAATAAAAGAGAATATGCTTCACATAATGATGGTAGCACTGCACTGTAGCACTGTCCTCCCGTTGTTCATCAATTCACTTGAGCGAGCACCAGTAACGTCTCCATTGTGAGACTTGTTGTTACTGTGTTTGGCATATCGAATACATCACGAGTAGCTTGCCAGGCTCTGTCGTGCGGGCGGAATACTCTCAGCAGCTTGCCGGGCTCTCCGAGAAGGGCGAAGGAATCAAACCCAGGCCGGCCACATGCCAGGCAAACGCCCTACCTGCTATGATATCGCTCCAGTTGGTAGTTGGTAGTGCTTAGAAACCTCTGAAACTTACATAAATATCCAGATGAGTTGTGCCTTTGATAAAGCAAAGACAAAAACAAAACAGTCCATCACATCAAACAAGTCCTTTTAACTTCGTGCATAGGCTCTTGGGGTCTGAATCTTTAAGGTAAATGACCAAAAAAAATCACTGTTCTTTTAACATAGAACAGTTGATTTAAAAAAAAAAAACTCCTGTGACAGCTTCTGCACAGCATATTGATGGTCACAAACATTAAAGATTTCAAAATATTTAAATAATTGAATATTTAAAGTAATATTTCTTCGTTCCTTTTTTTTTTTTTTTTGCCTGGCTTATTCTAGTTTAGGATGGCCAGAGCTTTTCTGGAAAGCTCAAGGCTGAGGCATATCTTTGAATATCTTTATATTGTTGTGCACACAGTCACTCAGCTCAGCTCAGCTCAGCTCAGCTCACTCAGGCTGAGACAATTTTGGCACATCAGTGAATGTTACTTGCAGATCTTGGGATGTGGGAGGAGCCCCCAAAGGAAATGCTGGTCTCAGTCGGGTATTTTCAGTGTTGGGTTTTTTCCTTCAGTATTATGACAAAACAACAAATTGTCATTATTCCAGCTCCTGCTGAATTTATTTATTTATTGGTTTTTGGGTCACACTTGGCAATGCTTAGGGGTTACTCCTATTTCTGCACTCTGGATTATTCCTGGTAGTGCATGGGTGCAAAGCAAGTGCCTCATCCTCTATTATCTCTCCAGCCCCATCAAGTTTTGAAATACCAGAATTTTATCTTTGTAGCTCTTTGTGGGCTTTTATTCTAATTTGGTTGAGTTTTAAGCTTTGATAGGAAGGAAGCATATTTGTTATCAGGGCTTATAAGTACACCTGATAGGATTTACAGTGCTATTTGCTAATCCTTGATTCTTGGCAAAATCAAGAAGTTATAAACTTCAGCTTTATAGAGGCATTTAAAATATTTTGCCTGATTTAATAAGTGTTTTTCCAAAATAACTATATTTAAGATTTCCAAAATCTCTAATTTGGATTAACATTACATTGAGTGGTTTTGTTTTCATTCAGGTCATTTTTGAGTGGTCAGGGCTTACATGTCTCAGGTTTTTCCCCCGCCTTCATGCCCCTGGCCCCTAGCACGTGTGTAAGTGGCTCCCTGAATCATTTTGGGCTCTTCGGTAGTTTTGTGGATTTTCTGCTGCAAGTTGGATGTTTGCTAATGTTTTTTTTTTGCCTTCCCTCTTTTTTTTTCAATAGGGACCTAGGGCCACTTCCTTGTTCAGCCCCTGCATCTTGGCCCCTGTAGGTCTAACAACAGACCCTGCCCTGTTTTGGGGGTGTGGGGGCAGTGGATGTGCTTGGTGGCACATACTTGTCTGGGATCAGTCAGGGATTGCAAGCATGCTGGGCAGGGGTATACCACTTCAGCCGTCTCCTCTTTATTTTTGGAGAGGTGCCATACCCAGCAGTGCTCAGGGTTTATTCCTGGCTCTGAGTTTAGGAAACACTCCTGGTGTGCTGAGGGACCATATGATGTGCCAGGGATTGAACTCCTGTCTGCTGCTTCCAAGGCACATGCCTTACCCTTTGAACTATCACTCTAGCCCTTTTGCTGTGTTTTTTTGTTTTGTTTGGGGGCCACACCCAGCAGTGCTCTTGGTTACTCCTGGCAAGGTGGGGGGGTGGGAGAGACATATGGGATGCTGGGGATTGACATTGAACACAGGTTGGCCATGTGCAAGGCAAGTACCCAGCCATCTCTAGCCCCTTCTTTTGCTGTATTTTGGTTTTTTTGTTTGTTTTTGTGGGGTTTTTTGGTTTGTTTTCCTGGCTTGGTCAGTAGGTTTGTTAATGTCTTCGAAAAATCATGGGGCGGGAGCAGTGGTACAGCAGATAGAGCATTTGCCTTGTACACTGCCAACCTGGATTTAATCCTCTACATGGCATATGGTCCCTCAAGAACTGTCAGTAGTAATTCCTGAATGCAAAGCCAGGAGTAATCCCTAAACATAACTGGGTGTGACCCCCAAAACCCAAAAAGATAATTTTTTTAAATTAAATTTTAAGCTACCTCATTGCCCGCTCCTGAGCTCTGAGAAGACTTGCTTGCTTCTGGACTATTAAATCTTATTTTTGGGCAAGAGACATATTACTGGTTTTTTTTTGTATGTTTGTTGGTTGGTTGGTTAGTTGGTTTGTTGTTTGTTTTGAGGCAACACCCGCCAGTACTCTGTTCTCAGTCAGGTCTTACTCTAGATGGGCTTAGAAGCCTTGTGGGATTGAACCTTGGTCTGTCATGTGCAAGGCAAACATGCTATACTACTGCTCTGGCCCTGCAAGAGACATTTTGGGATGTTTCCAACTCTTTTTTTAAATTTCATTGTAGGTTTTTTCTCATAAACAGGGTTGCCCCTTAAAACCACATGAACTTTCCTTTACATCATGTCTGGAGTTATGCTGTTCTTTGTGTTAAGATTTTCTTGTAGGCATCTTCATCCTCTCCCATTAGGCAACGTATATAGTCTGCAACATTCTGCCCCATAATGTATTCCCAGTGTACTACAGCTTTAAATTCCTTGCTTTCTCAGTCATAAGCAGGGAATCTTTTGGCACTGTGAGGAATAGGCAAGTCTCCACCCGCAGCTCCTTTCACAGTCAAAAAAACCTTGTTTCCAGTAGCAGTACTGGCAAGACCTGCATCCAAAGAGCAGGTGAAGGCACCAGGTTGTCTATCATTCATTTCCAGTGACCTCCAGTTGGCCTTCATAAATTTTGTCCATGCCAAATCTGTTGAGAAGCCTGGAGAACAGCAGGCCAAAACAGTAAGCTGCAGCATAATTTGTCAACCTTCACACCGTACTTTGGAAGTTCATAAGCATACGCTGCCCAAACTGTCATGTCTCCTTCTATATGGGCATAAACAATCTGATAAATGATGTCTCTCTTGGTTACACAGACTACCATCCTGTATTTTGGTGTGTTGTACTTATTTATATCCTGGATTACCAAACATTTCCGAGCACAGTGATCAGTTTTGCCCTCTCGCTGTCTTCTAAATTTCACTTTGGTGTCTCTTGAAGTATGCCTTATTCTTGACAGCTTTAGCAAACCCCTTCCTGCTGAACAGAGAAGGCGCCCGAAGCTTGACACACACCTCTTTTTGCTGTTTTTTAATGTGGTCTTTTCTAGTTCTCTCTCTCAACCCCATCCCCCCAGCTATTCCTGGCTTTGTGCTCAGCAGTGACCTCTGGTGGTGCTTGGTGACCAAAAATGTGGTTCTGGAGATTTAGGGGGTTGTTGGCTGAACTCAGAGGTGCTCGAAGCTTACTCCTAGCTTTTTGCACAGGGGACTTACGGGTTTTGTGGATTGAAATCAGTTGCCCTCTTTTAAGATGAGTACCCTACCAGGTGTACTATCTCTCTGACCCAAAAGCTTGTTGTTTGCTTAATAGATTGCAATATCTTTGTAACTTGGTAATTAAACTGATTTTTCCTTTAATTTTTGTTTTTTAGCTCTTTTCACTTATGGATATGAAACCTCCCATCTCTCGAGCCAAGATGATACTCATCACAAAAGCTGCTATTAAGGCTATTAAGGTAACTACATTTGAAAAATGTTGAAATTTTGAAAATGTAATTATGAGAATTCACCTTGTAAGTTAGTGCAGGCCTGAATTATAGAGCACTAACTAGCTTTTGTTAAAGGCATATAATGTGGCACAATGTTTTTGCTTTAGCATTTCAAAACCTGTTTTTCTCTTTGTTAGTATTTTTCTTTATATATTTCCACTTATGTATATTTACATAATTGATGCATGAGATATTATTTTTGTAGTTCTCTTTTTTTCTATTTTGGTTTTTGGCCACACCCGGCTCTGCTCAGGGCTTACTCCTGGCTCTGCTCAGGAATCTCTCCTGGCGGACTTGGGGGACCATATGTGACACCGGGCATCAAACTCAGGTCAGCTGCTTACAAGGCAAGTGCCCTACTCTATTTGCTCTGATCCTGATTTTTGTAGCTTTCTATTTTATTACTTCTGGTTAAGATTTTTTCAGTTGCGGACTGGATTATTTCTCATTCAATATCATCTTAAGAATTATTCAAATTGTGGACATTGCAAGGATTTAAATTTATTGCATTATTGAAAGTAGAATTACATGAATTCAACTCTAATTTCCTTTTCTTTTCAGCTTTATAAGCATGTAGTTCAAATAGTAGAAAAGTTCATCAAAAAGGTAACTACCCATTGTTATCTCATTTATTTGGGATCTGTATATATGATTTACTTTGTAAGTTGTAATTTAGGTGCTTGCTTCTAATGCCACTGTACAAAATAGTTGTTAGTAGAGGTTCTTTTTACTCCCAGATGAGTCTGTGGGTTGAGCATTTGTAGGAGGTGTAGGCACTGTGAACTTCAGTTTCTTGTCTAGGAGGCAAAGCTCATCCAAGCCTGAGAATGTCCTTTGCCCTGTCTACTGTGTGACAGTTAATTCATCTTAGAGGATTCCAGATCAAATCACTTTATAAAGATTTTTCCAATTTTCTCTGCCACCATTAAATAATTTTTCAGTTTCACAGTTGTGTGCTATTTTATAACTCGGGTTTGCACATTTGTTTTTGAGTACTTGAACTGTGTAAACATTTTGATTTTCAATTCCCATCCCAAAGTAATGCTGTGAGGAACATATATATGTGGAAATGTCTTTGTTGCATGATCTGTTCATAGTGCTGGAGAGAGGGTAACGATGGCATACTGGTTTGGTTTCGTTTCGTTTCGTTTTCTTATTTGTTTTGGTTTAGGGCTACACCTGGCAGTGCTCAGGGAATATTTCTGGCTGACTCTGAGCTCAGTGATCATGCTTCTGGCAGGTTCAGGGGACTATGTGGGGTGTCAGGTCAAACCAGGTATCAAACCCAGGTCAGTTTTCCCTGCTGTACTTTCTCCAGCCCTGACCTGAGGATGAGATTTTTATAGCATATCAAAGCACACATAAATGGGGGGGGGGGGGGTAAAATTACCTACATCCCCCACCCAAATAACTATGCACTATAGCACTGTCCTCCCTTCGTTCATTGATTTGCTCGAGCGGACACGAGTAATACCTCCAGTGTGAGACTTGTTACTGTTTTTGGCATATTGAATGCACTATGGGTGTCTAGCCAGGCTCTGCCAGGCTCGCCGAGAGGGACGGAGGAATCTAACCCAGGTCAGCTGCGTGCAAGGAAAATGCCCCACCCTCTGTGCTGTCACTCCAGCCCAAATAACTGTATTTGCCTTCAGTTTTTCTAATTTTTGCACGTGTAAAATAATGAAAAATTAAAATGTATGATTTTTCTTTTCCTTCTGAATTTATCATAGTCATGAAGTATTTCATCACATGATTTATTCGACCTGATTTCTTGTTTCATGTTTGATTAATTACACTTATTGCATAGCCTTATGGGAAAAGGTAGAGACATTTTGTTTTTGGTTTTGGTTTTTTGTTTTTGCTTTTTAGGTCACACCTGACCATGCACAGGGGTTACTCCTGGCTCTCTACTCAGGAATTACTCCTGGCTGTGCTTGTGGGACCATATGGGATGCTGGGAATCAAACCCGGCTGAGCCACATGCAAGGCAAATGCCCTACCCACTATACTACCAATCCAACCCCTCATTTTCTTTTCTTAAGAATGTATTTCTTGGGGGCTGGAGCAATAGTACAGCAGGTAGGGCATTTGCCTTGCACGCGGCTGACCCAGGTTCGATTCCCAGCATCCCATATGGTCCCCTGAGCATCACTGGGTGTGACCCAAAAAAGCAACATAAAAAATATATATTTCTTGGGGATGGAAAGATAATACAGGTGGTAGGGCACTTGTCTTGTGCGCAGCCAACTTGGGTTCAATCCTCTTGTCTCATATAGTCCCCTGAACTCCACCACGAGTAATTCCTGAGCACAGAGCCAGGAGTGACACCTGAGAAAGCTGAGTGTGTTCCCCATCAAAAAATTAAGAATATATTTCTTTTATTGCTAAATCATCTTGAAAGATTACACAATCAGAAATCTATGTAGGTTCCTCTTACCTATTATTTTGTTCCAAGTTTAGTATATATGCTGCTGCAAGCATTTATTATTTTCATCTTGTTATTTTGGTATTCAAAAATAACACCTTTTGTTTCTCATGCTATTCTTTGTGTTGTTAACGAAAATTTTAAAAAATAATTGTTGAGCAAGATAAAATATATTAACGATTGTAACAGTGAGGGGGGTTGTATGAAAAGTAATGCTGGGAATTATGTGTGGGTAGAAAAAAACTAAAATACTGGGTACACACGTATCAAGATACGATAGGTGTGTGAAAACCTGTGTGAAATTTGGCAATTTAGCCAGTAACTGAGCTAAGCATTCAAAAATTAGGAATAGAAAGTCATTGGACATAATTACATGAAAGTGAAATTAAAGGGCTTCATGTTTTGATATTGCTTTTCTTGCATTGACTTTACAACTTTGCGTTTTGTAGTGTAAACCAGAATACAAAGTTCCGGGATTATACGTTATTGACTCAATTGTACGACAGTCTCGTCATCAATTTGGAACTGATAAAGATGTTTTTGGGCCAAGATTCTCTAAAAACATAACCGCCACATTCCAATATTTATATCTTTGTCCGTCTGAAGATAAGGTATCATTAATTTAAGAATTGAAACATGTTGTCTTTATTTTATATAAGATTCGTCTACTTAAATATTGAATCTATTGAAATGTGTATTAGATATTTGGAGTTTTCTTTATTGCTCAAAAGACAATGAGAGTCATCTGTGAATTTGAAACAAAGTCCAGTTTGTTTTTTTTCCTGTATTGATCATGTTATTTCTCTTCTATCTTGGGAAGTCTTTCATGAATGCTGTGTTGTTGAAAGAGCAAAAGAATCTCTTTTACCTGAATTTTTAATTTATTTGATTTTGGACCACAAGTGGCTGTGCTCAGGTCTTACTCCTGGCTCTGTGCTCAGGGATCACTCCTGAAGGAAGTTAGGGGACCATACATAGTGCCAGAGATTAAATCCAGGGCATTTCTGCAGGGTAAGCACCATACCCACTGTACTCTCTCCAGATCATACCATGTCTTTTCAAAGGAGACTTTATGGAATGATCTTTTTGCTTACTATAGAATGAAAGGACTGATAATTGATGGTTTTGAGTGCTATTCATTAGTTACCAGACGATGACATTCCTTTTATGTAACTGATTTCACTGACTACAAAAAGACATGATGGCAGTCCCAATAAATGATGGAAATGACATTGGTAAACCTACTCAAAATATAAATAATGAGGACATTTTACAGTAAGCAGTATATAAATTTGAGTGTTAAGGATTCTGTTTATATTCTTGGGACTGCAGTTGTAAGGAAGATCAACAAGAGAAAAAAATTAGTAAGAAATTAGTTATATCTGAATAATGACATGTTTGGATTTTCTTCATATTTAGTGATGCATAAAATGATTTGCCAGTACAGCCCACTTTTAAGGTAAAGGTAAAGGTAAAGGCCCTCCCGTTGATCGTCGATTTGCTCGAGCGGGCCCAGTAACGTCTCCATTGGAGACTTTGTTGTTACTGTGTCTGGCATACTCTCGGTAGCTTGCCGGGCTCTCCGAGAGGGGCGGAGGAATCGAACTCGGGTCGGCCATGTTGGCCGCTTGTAAGGCGAACGCCCTACCCGCTGTGCTAATTATTAAAGTCATTTTGAAGAGAGGCTGGAGAGAGATTATAGTGGTAAGGCACTAGCCTTGTACACAGCTAACCAGAGTTCAATTGTAGCCACCATGTATGGTCCCCCTGAACCCCTCCAGGTATGTGTGTATATCCCCCATCACCCCCTACCCCAAATAAAAAAGAAAAATTCAAACCAGAATCGCCTAAAGAAATTCATTTACTGAGATTTGACTTTTTATGCATTCAGGGCCCACTTCTAGAAGGACTTTGGGGACAAGATGGGGTGTCCAGAATTGAACCCCGGTCAGTCACGTGCAAGGAAAGTGCACTGCCCGCTTTATTATCTCTCTGGGCGAGATAAAACTATTAGTAATGGGGTTCCTTTGTTAGCTTAAAATGCAATAAACTTTTAAGTATATCATTATAATATATTTTGGCTACATATATATTTTTTCTTTTTTAAATTTTTCTCCCTCTTTTAAAAAATTTTTTTTCAGATCACACTGGGCCTAGAGCAATAGTACAGTCAGCGCGGGGCATTTGCCATGCACACAGCCAGCCCAGTTGACACCTGATATCCCATGTGGTGCCCTAAGCCCACCAGGAGTGATTTCTGTGTGTAGAGTCAGGACTGGAGTTAGTCCTGAGCACTGCTGGGTGTGTCCCCAGTTTTAAGAGCTATAATGTCATGTAAATATTTAATGTATATTTATACTTTCATAACAGAGTAAAATAGTTCGTGTGCTAAACCTGTGGCAAAAAAATGGAGTGTTCAAAATTGAAATTATTCAGCCTCTTTTGGACATGGCAGCAGGAACCAGTAATGCTGCCCCAGTAGCAGAAAATGTGACGAATAATGAAGGTATGTATAGTTAGATTTTTCTGTGAGCTTAGAAAATGGTATAATGTCTTTACACATAAAAATTTGTCATCTGGTTATATTGATGGAATTTTTTCAAAAGAAGGGAATGGTGGATGGCAGAGAGAGATAGTACAGGGGTTAAGATACAGTCGGTTAGTACAGGGGTTAAGGTAAGTTGCATGTGACTAACTGTGGTTTGATCTCTGGCATCGCATGGTCCCCTGACCATCAATGGGTACAGGCTTGGAGGCTCCTGAGTATCCTCAGCTGACCCAGGCAGGCCCCAGCCTTGCAGGGCTTCAGTGGAGTACATCTTGAGGTCCTCGGCACCACTGGGGCCTTTGGGGAGGCCCTTCTCTCTTCCTCTTTCCCTCACCCTTCAATGGAAGGAAGTATTATCTTTTTCTTTTTCAGGCTCACCTCCACCTCCAGTTAAAATTTCTTCTGAACCCCCACAAGCCACTACGAACTCTGTACCAGCTGTACCACAGCTGCCAAGCTCTGATGCCTTTGCTGCTGTGGCTCAACTGTTTCAGTCAACGCAAGGGCAACAGGTAAACATGAAAAAATTAACTTGTGTGCAGTGGGTGCTGTTGTCAGTTCTTCTAATTGACCACATTCAAAGGAGAAGATAATTTTGCTTTTTCAGCTAGAGAAGCCTTCATCAGAAGGAAATTAGTGGCATATAGGAATAATAGGAGAATTGTGAAAAAGTGAAAGGCATGGGAACCTCCCACTGAGAAAGTGCAGCATTCTTTGAAGGGACTGTCAGAGCTGCTCGTACTCTTGTACACAATTAGTATTTCCAGTTGCTTTCAAAATTACTCAAACTGGAGATAATAGTTCAGTGTTTGTTTTTTTTTAACCTTGTCTTTGGTCATGATTTTTAGCATTCGGGCCAACATGCTTTTAGCACTTTAAGCTGGGTCTATTGTGTTCCTGATGTATTCACAGCAAATTTATTTTCTGGTTTATAATAGATTTTGGGGGGGTTTTGGTAAGTTAACTTTGGATATTATGTTTATACTTTGTTAGGTGGTTTATCAGTTTTCCCATTCTTTAAGCTTCAACAGATTCTTCAGACTTTTCAACAACCCCCAAAACCACAGTCTCCTGCCATTGACAATGCTGTGATGGCTCAGGTTCAGGCCATGACAGCTCAGTTAAAGACAGCTCCTACACAACCACCTGAGCAAAAAGCTGCTTTCCCCCAGCCTGAACAAAAAACTGCGTTTGACAAGGTACGCCTCTCTCACATAACCCACCTTTCTGTTTATATCGCTCTGGATGGCATGTGAAAATTATCCCTTTTCTAGCTTCTCTGAATTGTGATATGGTTTGAGGAATTTTTTCCCTTCAACAGCAAAACTAGTAAGTTGTCTTTAACATTTTCAGCTAAAGAAAAAAATAAACAGTATAAAATCAACTGGAGAACATTATTAGAAGTGACCACTATAACAGTTGGCTGTGTATATCTTTTCAGAATTGATTTCTTGTGGCTTTTTGCTTTTCTTCATTTGTTCTTTATGTATACACATGCATAATGGGTTGGGAGTTTTGATTGTTGTTGTTTTTTTAATTGATTCATTGTGAGATATACAGCTGCAAACTGTTCATGATCAGGTTTTAGTCATACAGTGTTCCCATCCTTCTACCAGTGTACATATCCTACCGCCAATGTTCTCTGTTTCCCTCCCACCACCTCCCCCACCTCCAGCCTGTCTCTGGCAGGTGCCCTCGAGCACTTGCATGCGTGCTTATGCACGCGCTCTCTCTCTCTCTCTCTCTCTTTCTCTCTCTCTCTCTTCCCCCCCCCCCCACCCGTCCCCTCCCCTCCTCTCTGTCACTCTCCTCTTCTCCCTCTCCCTCCCCCTTCCCTTTTGGGCATTATGGTTCATACATACTGTTTTTTTGTTTGCTTGTTTTCATAATAATCTCCTTCCACTGTTAACATAAACAGGTTTAGATCTACATTTTTACATCTGCTTATTAGGAATTTTCCATCACATAGACACATCATATTTTAGCCATACTACTATAGATCTTTTTTATTGATCTCTCTTCTGTTGCTGTTCTTTTTGCTTTCAAATATTTACAATAGAAGCACTTGGGTTGGATCACTGTCTTCTGTTTGGTTGTAGGCTTTTTAAAGGATTATCACTAAGGACATAGTTTTGCACAGCTCAGAGAAACCTGTTAGACTATTAAACCAAATGACTCTGCTTTTGTCTTTTGTCTGTTTGTTTTTTGGGTCACACCCAGCAGTGCTCAGGACTTACTCCTGACTCTTTGTTCAGGGATCATTCCTGGCCAGGCTTGGGGGACCGTGTGGGATGCCAGAGATCAAACCTGGGTCTGCTGCGTGCATGGCAAGTGCCCTTCCTTCCTGCTGTACTATCTTTCCATCCCCTTTTGCTGTTGTATATGTATATTTATGTTTGTCTCTTCATTCCTGTTAGAATCTCTTTTTTGGTGGGGGGTCTTTTGGGGTCACACCTGGTGATGCACAGGGATTACTCCTGGCTCTGCACTCAGGAATTTCCCCTGGCGGTACTCAGGGGACCATATGGGATGCTGGGGATTGAACCCGGGTCGACCCAGTCGACCTGGGTCGGCAGCGTGCAAGGCAAACACCCTACCCGCTGTGCTATCACTCCAGCCCCCAGAATCTCTTTTTACAATGTTGTTTAACCTTTATATTTTTGGGAATCAACATTTGTCACTTGAGTTTTTGTTTTGTTTTGTTTTTATTTATTGAATCACCGTGAGATACACAACTGTTCATGTTTGGGCTTCAGTCAGTGTTCATCACCCATCCCTTCACTAGTGTACGTTTCCCACCAGCAATGTCCCCAGTTTTCCTCCTGTGCTCTCTTGTTCGTTCTCTGTACTCTTCCCCCGAAACTTTGGACATTATGGTTTGCAGTACAGGTGCTGAAAGGTTATTGTGTTTGTCCCTTTGTCTACTTTCTTGCTCAGTTCTTGTCCAGAGTGATCATTTCCAACTATCATTGTCATCATGGTCCATTTCCTCTGCCCCTTGGTATTTTTTATAGTATAATTTACTGCTTTGTTCCATGTGTACTTGATTTTGTGTAACAGTTTATGTACTTCTAACTTTTATTCTCTTTTAAGCTTAGAACTTTTTTTTTTCTGTGCATATCTTTTTTTTTTTTTGAGATTATAACTTTGTGTGTTCAGAATCAATGATACGTTAAAGTGTGGAGAGGGAGGGAGAGATTGATTTTTTTTTTTTTAAGGAATTAGCTAATGTATTTGTAGAAGCTGGAAAACTAAAAGTGTTTCGTTAAAAGTAAAAGTAGGGTATGCTGGCAGGCAGAAAATTAAGGCAAGAATTTTTGTTATCTTGAAGGGATTTAAGTCCTTGTTCCTTAAGCCTTCGGGTAATTGTGATTTATCTATGTTAGAAAATGAGTCTGCCTGCCTCCCTCCTTTCCCTCCCTTCATCTCTTCCTCCCTTTCTCTTTTGCTTCCCTCATTTCCCATGCTTATTCATATGGCTACCCCAGCTTGATTCTCACTACTGGTTGTGCCAGGGATTAAACCTGCTTCCTTCCTGTGAAAGCATGCCCTCCAGCCCATTGTGTTGTCTAGCTGTGACAGAGGTGGTGTTTTTGTATTAAAAAAGTTAAACTCTTTGGGGGCTTGAGAGATAGCCCAGTGGGGAGGGCGTTTGCCTTGCACGTGGCCGACCCGGGTTCGATTCCCAGCATCCCATATGGTCCCCTGAGCACCACCAGGAGTAATTCCTGAGTGCAGAGCCAGGAGTAACCAACCCCTGAGCATTGCCAGATATGACCCAAAAAGCAACAACAAAAAGAAAAGTTAAACTTTTTCAAAACACCTTCTCAGCAATGTCTAGATTAATATTTGACCTTTTTATATAATGGACCAGCTGAGGGAGCAGCATAATCTGTCCAAACGGACACATAAACTTCACCATCATAGCATACTTTTAAAAAAAATTTTTTTTACTTTATTTGAACACTGGTTTACAAAGTTGTTCATAATATAGTTGTTAACGGTATTCAGTATTCCAAAACCAGTCCCACCACCAATGTCCTCTACCAGTGTCCCCATTTTCCTAACCATCCCCAAGGCTGCCCTCTTAAAGGGCACAAAGAAATTTTTCTCTGTTGCTTGTTAAAAGTAAATGGCTAATGGAATTATTAAAAATATTTCAGTAAAAAAGTGAAAATTTTTGTATCTTACCATGGGGTCAACATAAGTCCTTGTCTGAGGGTTTACAAAGCTTTTTGTTGCTAGTTGAGGCTTTGTTACTGTTTTTGTTCATTGGGCTTAGATGACTTGTGTGTTACTTTCCCATCTGACTTGGTGTGCTCCTTTTGGGCTGTTAGTGTTGTAGAGTGGAAGTATTGCGGGGCCATATGCAGTAGCTGTGTTCTCCAGGAATTCCAAGATCTGTAGAATTGGGCCTATGGATGAGTTTACATTGCTGCCACTATAAAATGTGGGTGTGACTGCTAGGGCATCTGGAAGTACAGGAGGGTGAGGGCGCGTGGGCAAAGTATCGTGTTTTTCCAGACAGACCTAAGCAGAAATTTAAAAACCTATGAGTTTATAAATTTAAACATGCTGGTACAGAAGCTCAATTAAAGTCTTTTTTAATTGGACATGTTTAATTATGCCTTTGAGGTTTTTTTTTTTTTTTTGGCTTTTGGCTTTTGGCTTTTGGGTCACGCCTGGCATTGCACAGGGGTTACTCCTGGCTCATATACTCAGGAATTACTCCTGGTGGTCCTCAGGGGACCATATGGGATGCTGGGAATCGAACCTGGGTCAGCCACATGCAAGGCAAACGCCCTGTGCTATTGCTCCAGCCCCGAGAAAAATTTTCTTATGCATGATCATAGTATTAGATGCTTAGTTTTCTAGTTGACTCTAGGTAGCTACTAAATTTGACATGTACTCCACAATGTCTTTACCTATTTTGTGTGTTTTTATCATGGCAGTAGCTTGGGTTTATGGAAAAATTATAATTAGCAAAGTTAGTGACATCCTTATCTGGTAAATTGGAATTTAATTCCTCTAGAATTTTACCTTTAGTGAATTTGCCTTTTTTTTTTTCTTAATTCTATCAAGTTGAGACAGCGAATTCTATACTATTCCTTCAACTAAAAGAATTCATTTTAAGTTTGATTGGGACAGTTTGTTTTTATCACCTTTGGTTATCACAGATACAGCAACAAATTGTTTTTGAGTCTAAGTTTAATTTTTGTGTTTTTGTAAAAACAATATGCATAAGCCTTAAAGTTTTAGGTTAGAGGGTTATAATTAGCACAGTTCTGATCTTTGCTTCTATTGTTGCACCATTGTGGTAATGCTGAGTTCTTGGTGTGCTCCACTGGAATAGTGATAGTAGACCTACCTCTAAACCTGTGTCTGCTCTTGCCATGGAGCTTAAAGAAGTTAAGTGCAAGGGCCATAGTAGATTGCTCTACATGACAAGATATAGTAGAAATTTACAGTCATATAGCATACAATTGTAAAGGAAACAGGTGTCGTCCAATAAAGTACAACTATAATTTTTAGAGAGAACAGTACCAACTTGGGGTTTGAGGTTGGTGGTCTCAGCTCAAGAGAAAAGCATGACTGTTGCATGTTGAAGACATGCTTTGAAGAGGACAAGTGCGTCATATGTACTGTTCACTTAGTATGATCTTGGTTTCAGTTTTTTTCCCCTCTTTCCCATTCCAGTTTCCTCAGTCACTCAAACCTTTATTGTTCTTGACTGTAAAAAGAAAAGAAAACATATATTAATATTGCAGACTTCTTTTTTTTGCAGACTTTATGATAATCAAGTATCATGTTTGTAATCTACCAAAATGTGTAGTCCGCTTGTTGTTCTTTTTTGGTTTTGGGATCACACCCATCTGGCTCTCCTCCCTGTGCTCTAGCTCTTTAAGCCATCTTCCAGCCCATTCTTTTCTCTCATTTTTCAAAGGGACTTTTAGAAAATCTTTTAAAGCATATTTATCCTTTTTTTGTTGCCCTCTTTGTTGTTGGGCTCACATGTACTTTGATGCAGTTCTCACTAGGACTTGTGCATCTAGTTGAAGTATGCCAGAGGCTCCATACCTTGTGCTGGTTATTAGGTTGCTAAAGGGTAACTGACAAAGCAAGTGCTACCTCACTGAAGCCACATCTTCACTTCTCCCCCGTCACCATCTACTTGTTCTGTCTTTTATCAGTTTATTCTTTGTTTTTTTGTTTTGTTTGTTTGTTTTGGCCACACCTAGCAATGATCAGGGATTATTCTTGGTTCTTCACTCAGTATCTACTCCTGGTGGTACTCAGGACTGTCTGGGATGCCTAGGATCAAATTGGGTCAGCTGCGTGCAAGGCAAGCACCCTCCCTGCTGTATTACCTGCTCAGGCCCCAATAGAAGTATATTCTTCAGCATGCAGCCCAGAGATATTTTTTTGTGGGTGTTCATAGTGGATAAGAAGGTCATCATACATCATGCATCATACAGCTGACTGAAAATAGACATCATTTTCATGTGTACAAAACATTTTACCCTCAGTATTTTAGAATAAAATTACTTTTATTCTGTCAATAAAATAACAAAAGTAAACAACGAAATACACTTGTAATTGGGGAAGAAAGGCATAATTAAAATGATGTGCTTTTTTGAATCCCATAAAATTGCTAATATATATGAGCAAAAGTCGTAAGAACTATGCAAGAAAATAAGATTGTTAGAAAATGACGGTGTGGGGGCTGGAGTGATACACAGTGTATAAGGTGCTTGCCTTGTACGTGGATGACCCAGGTTTGATCCCAGCATCCCCAAAAACAAAGAGAGAAAAATGAGAGTGATAGGGTTTTTAATGGTGGTATTCATAGTTTTTTAAATGCTTTGTATTTGTAGTTTTTTTTTCATGTAGTGAATCACAGTCTAATATTTTCATTGGTTTATTGATATGTCTCTTTCAGAAGCTACTTGATAGATTTGATTATGACGATGAGCCAGAAGCTATGGAAGAGTCAAAGAAAGAAGACGCTGCTGCCGGCACTGTGCCCGTTGCTGCTGCCCCTCCTATTCCTCCTGCCATGCCCGCTGCTGCCGCCGCCACACCTGCCACTTCTCCCCCACAAGCACCCTTGTACGTACTTGCTTCGGACTCCTTAAGAGATAGGGCTGGTGGTCATTGGAAAGCCTAATGGCAGTGGCATTCACTGTCCTTTGTTTCCTGTGGAGTCTCTTCTTAATTTTTTTACTTGGGGTTTTTTTCCCCCAAGGGAGAGGGGATCCTGCCAGATTTAAAATTAAAAAGACTTGCTGATAATATTGATATAGACATCTTTTGTTTCTGTAATAGAAGTATGGCTAAGAATGTCAAGTAATTTTGAGGGAATGAAAAGAGAATTCCTCCTTTTTTAGTGGATTTCCTGGAGATGGCATGCAGCAGCCAGCATACCCACAGCCACAGACTATGGAGCAGTTTCAGCCTCGACTGATGCCGATGCAGCAGGATCCAGTGCACCATCAGGTATTGGGGTATTTGTGGGGTATTGGGGTATTTGTGCCTGCGGTATAAGATGTGCATTAGAGTGTGTGTCTGAATTGAGCTTTCCTTGCCACTATTACTTAGCTCTGTCATGGCTAAAGTAGTATAGCTTCATAAAAGCAGGTGAGCACATAACTATTTTGATTTGGGTTTTGTAATAACAAAAACAAGAATGCTAAGTATTATATGTTTATAGTGTGAAAAGTTAAAATCATTTAGAGTGAGGTTATATATTGTTCTGTTTTAGGAAATTGGTCTGTATAATTGCACAGCTCTTGCAAGGGATTCTTTGTGTGTCTGTGTGTTATTGTGCTTATGGGGCTTTTAGTTGTCAGTGTTTCATTTGAAATCTGCAATAAAAGTAGTTTCTCACACTTAAGAGTTACAGCCATCAGTAGAAAACTTCTTCATGGCAATTGTCTTAGTAAATTCTCAAATATAGAATTCCAAAAACTTGAATGTGGAGCTAGAGAGTTGAGAAAGGCAGCATGGTGGTGTTTAAAATACCTGCTCTGCAGTGCTGTGATCTAGGAATATGTGTTACTTTTTTCAATTGTGTGTTACTTTTATTGAATACACACCCTTAGAAAATACTACATTTTATAGCCTTAAATTGGAGTTACCGAAAACTCTCTTAGAGTATGTTTGTTTCATGTGATGTTCATTTCTTTTATGTTTTCCTTGCTATTCAAAATACCATTACATAAAATAGTATAAAACAAAGAGAATTGCCATTAATTTATGGCAAAATTTTCATGGATTCTTGCACTCGAGATAACCGGGGACTGGAGCAATCGCACAGCGGGTAGGGCATTTGCCTTGCACACAGCCAACCTGGGTTCGATTCCCAGCATCCCATATTGGTCCCCTGAGCATTTCCGGGAGTAATTCCTGAGTACAGAGCCAGTAGTAACCCCTGTGTATTGCTGGGTATGACCAAAAAAATAAATAAATAAACAGAAAAAAAAGATAACCGACTCTGGCCACAGTGATAGTATCGTGGGTTGGATGCTTACCTTGCATGCAGCCGACTCATTTTCAATCCCCAGCATTTCGTATGATTCCCCAAGCCCTTCCAGGAGTAACTGCTGAGTGCAGAGATAGGAGTAGTCACTGAGACCACCAGGAGTGGCCAAAACCAAAATAAAAATAATCTACCAAATAACACGTAAAATAAGACCAAAAGAAGGATGTGATTGGTAGGGCACGGGCCTGTCTGTCACTTTGTGGGGAAAATTTACAAAAGACGAAGTGATGAAATAAGTTCAAAAGCATACAGTGAATACCGTTTTCATTTTTGGTCTTCAGTTTGTAAAAGCCACTCCTGTTTGGATTCTTTTGATTAGTGAAAACTGTTACTCCCATTGATCTCTTCTAAGCAAAGTATAATACAAACTTGAAGAGCAGTTTTTACTTGGAAATATGATGCTGAAATAGTGCTTTGACTGTATGGTGAAGTCTGAAGGTTGTTTTTTGTCCCGTCCCCCCTCCCCCCATTTTTATTGAATCACCATTATATACACATTTACAAAATTATTCATGTTTGGGTTTCAATCATACAACATTCGGCTGAAACCATACAATCATATAATGTTCGAACACTCAGGTTTTTAAGTCATTTGCAATATGCAAAAAGGCTTGAATCCTTTCTAAATGTTTAATGATTACTGAAAATTTAAAATCAAAATTTTAAAATGTAAAAAACAATCTGTGCTAATACAATGACATTATAGCTAGGTTTTTTCATTGTATTGGCACTGGAATGGTATTGGCAATGGAATGCAGAAATAAGAGGGTCAACTCCTGGGAATATATCCCAGAGAGGCAAAAAAGTATAGTCGAAGTGACATCTGCACTTGTTTGTTCATTGCAGCACTCTTTACAATAGATAGAATCTGGGAAAAAACCTGAGTGCTCGAGAACAGATGACTGGTTAAAGAAACTTTGGTACATCTACACAGTGGAGAACTATGCAGGTGTTAGAAAAGATGAAGTCATGAAATTCATATACAAGTGGCACTACATGGAAAGTATCGTGCTAAGCGAAATGAGTCAGAAAGAAAGGGACAGACATAGAAAGATTGCATTCATCTGAGGAACATAAAGTAACAAAATAGGAGACTAACACCCAAGAATAGCCGAGATAAGTACCAGGAGGATTACTCCATGGCTTTGAGGACGGCCTCATACGCTAGGGGAAAAGGCAGCTCAGATAGAGAAGGGAGCACCAAATGAAGGGTGTTGGGAGGTTCCTCTTAGGGTGGGAAATGCGTGATGAGAGTAGACTATAGACCGAACAAGATTGCCACTCAACGTCTCTTTTGCAAACCACAGCACTCAAAAGGAGAGAGATAACAAAAGGGAATCCCCTGCCACAGAGGTAGGGTGGGATGGGGGGCTGGGGGGTAGGAAGGATACTGGGACTGGTGGTGGTGAATGGGCACTGGTGGAGGGATGGGTATTCAAACATTGTATAACTGAAACCCAAGCACAAAAATTTGTAAGTCTACAACTGTACCTCATGGTGTTTCACTAATAAAAATTTAAGAAAAAAACAAAAATAAGAGGGCCAGAGCAATAGTACAGCAGGTGGGGGGTGCTTGCCTTGAATGTAACTCAGCCAATCAATCTCTATCCTTGGCATCCATATGGTCTTCTGAGCCCACTAGGAGGAGTAATCTCTGAGTAGAGCCAGGATATAAAGCCGTGAGCACCTCTAGGTTCGGCCCAGAAGACAAACTGAACAAATTTAATATGTAGTAATTTTTTTATTATGATAAATAAAGGGTATCCCTGACCCAGAAAATTTAATTGGATTGGGGGGGGGGTGCTGTAGTCCTTGGGGGAGGGAGACAAGTACACTGGTGATGAGTGTGGTGTTAGAATTATGTCTATGAGAAACCGATATTAATAGTAGTGTAAACTAGCACAACAGGTAGTGCATTTGCTTTGCACGTGGCCAACCCGGGTTTGATTCCTTCGTCCTTCTCAGAGAGCCTGGCAAGCTACCAAAAGTATCCTGCCTGCAAGGCAGAGCCTGGCAATTTCCCCATGGTGTATTTGATATACCAAAAAAAAACAGTAACAACAAGTCTCACAATGGAGACATTACTGGTACCCACTCAAGTAAACCAAAAAATTGGGGGGGGGAATTTTTTTAATTTAAGAGAATGTATTGGGTCTTTGCCCTTGAGCATCACCAGATGTAACCCAAAAACAAAACCAAAGAAGAGGACATAGAAGTTAAAATCCCTTTTGGAGAAAACTTAAAAATATAAACCCTAGTACCAGAGAGATAATTCAGTGGTATGGCACTTGCCTTACGTGCTGTTGATTCAGGTCCAATTCCTGGCAAACCATATATTCCATGTGGTCTCCTGAGCCTACCAGGAGTGTTCCCTAAGTGCAAAGCCAGGAGGAACCCCTATTTACCCCTCGAAGTGGCCCAAACCGCCACTACCACCAAAAACATTACATATGGAATAATGTGTTAAATCCATCTTATCACATTGCTTTTTTTTTCCCCCCTCCATTTTGGGTCACACCCAGTGATGCTCAGTGGTTACTCCTGGCTCTGCACTTAGGAATTATTCCTGGCGGTGCTTCAGGGATCATATGGAATGCTGGGGATTGAACCCAGGTCAGCTGCGTGCAAGGCAAGCACCCTACCTGCTGTACTATCACTCTGGCCCCTGTCATATTGCTTTCTTATATAAATGGGGGTATGTCTGTAAACATGTAAGACAAAGCTGTGTGTTTATAATTTTGAACTGAGTTATAGGGAGCTTTTGCCTTTAGGCTTGTCTGTGTGACAGTTATGTGAAAATTATACCTTAGATATTATCAATCACTGTCATGTCGTTTCTTCCTTTGGTCAAAATTCATTCCATATATTTTAATATTTAACAAAGTAGGATTTTTCCTAGCTATATTTTAGAAGCAATTAAGATTTACATACATACTTTTTTATTTTGTTTTCTAATGGAAGGTTCCACTTCCTCCTAATGGACAGATGCCAGGGTTTGGCCTTCTTCCAACGCCTCCATTTCCTCCCATGGCTCAGCCTGTGATTCCTCCTACTCCACCCGTGCAACCACCTTTCCAGGCTTCTTTTCAAGCACAGAATGAACCACTTACACAGAAGGCACATCAGGTAGAACACCATTCTCAGATGATCTTTCTAATACATAGTTTTTGAATGCAGATTACTGGTTCATTGTGGGTTTTTTTTTTTTTTTTGGTAAGAAAAAATGAGCATAAACTAACTCCTAAAGTTTTAAAATGGAAGATGGGTATCATAACTTTGCCAACATTTTATAGTTTGCGTGTAATTTTTTCTTGTTTGGGGTGGGTTTTTTTTTTTTATAAATAGCAGCTATAATCTTGTAAATCATGTAAAAATTCTTTTGAGGGAACCAGAGAGATAGTATATGTGTTAGGTTGCTTATCTTGTATGCAGCCAGATCTAGTCTTGGTTTGGGTCTCAGCACTCCAATGACAACCAGGAGTGATTCCCTGAGCACAGAGCCAGGAATAAGTTCTATACACAATGTGTGGGCCAAAAACATAAGAAAAAAATATTATTTTTTCCATAGATTAGAAAAATGGTTTTTCAGTAACTGTTACTGATATCATTAAATTAATAACATGGTCCAAAGTAACCAAAAGAGAACTGCTTTTTTTAAGACAAGCAGTTAATAACTTAAAACGTTTCAGAATTTGTTCTTTTGCCTCTGTTATTTTTTCTTGCACATCTATTGATGGAATAATATTTGTTTGTTTGTTTGTTTTTCAGGAAATGGAAGTGGAACAGCCTTGTATTCCAGAGGTTAAACGGCATATATCTGATAACAGAAAGTCGAGATCAAGGTCAGCATCGAGGTAATTTTAGAAAATGTTTCCAATCCAGTCCCCTTTATGGGAGACATGAAGATTAAAATCAACTGTGATCATTTTATTTATTTATTTTTTTGCTCTTTGGGTCACACCAGGCGATGCTCAGGGGTTACTCCTGGTGGTGCTTAGGAGACCATATGGGATGCCGGGCATCAAACCCGGATCTGTTCCGTGCAAGGCAAACGCCCTACCTGCTATGCTATTACACCGACCGCAACTTATGATGATTTTAGATACTCGTTGGTTATAGGATAACTTGGAAGGTACTGGGATATGGCTTACTGGTAGAACACCTTTGGGAGGCCCTGGGTTTCATCCTTGGCAGCAGCACTTCAGGTGCAGTTACCAGTGGAGCAATAACAACGTAGTCTCACTTGGCATATCAACATGTTTATGTGGCATGGGGCGAAGTCTTTTGCATACTCTCTTGCCTTTGCACAGATAGTCGTGGGATTATAAAAATTATGAGTTCAGAGTTTGTAAGCAAATTTTTGCCCAAGATGAAAAAAAAGTAATACTATAAACAGATTGATTTTAATTCCCGAAGAACAAACCACCAAGAATATAATAGTAATACCTGTATATTTCAGTGATATTAGCTTCATACAGTGCAGGGAAATGATTTAACAACACATTGATGCCAACGTGTACCATCCACAGCTTACATTTGAATGTGGTTTAGCAGCATCAGCATTAACAATGTTAATATTGGACCAGCAGTCTGGAGACCAGGCATATTTTTATAGCTAGCAACTTTTAAAAAGTATATCCTTCCTTGTGTAAACTCACACAAATATGGGGGGCACGGCACCCACACGGCGGCGGCTCTATCTCTCCCGCCACCCGCGTTCGGTAGTCTCACCCTTCTACCACCCCGGAGAGGTCGATGGCGATGGTCAGGCGGGGGAAGGAACGAGGGCCAGGCTGGTTGGTATTAGTCGTAGTTTATTCTGATTCTTTCTTCTTCTCCCCTTGTCTCTCTATCTCTCTGTTTCTCCCTTCTCCTGCCCCTCTCTGAACTCTCTTCTTCCTTCTCCTGCCCCTGTCTCCCTCCTACAGTACAGTTAAATCCTCTCTCCTGAGGAATTGGGGGAACAATTACACATAGGTGTGGTCACAATCAATAGGGGTGGAGATGAACAGGGGTAGAAATCTTAGCCTCAGGGAAGACCGCTCCTAGGACAGATCCTTCTTTAGCAGGAGGACCCACCCTAGAGCAGAATTCCATGGGCGTGCCTCTCCTCTCCTTGTCCAACAAGCATATAAAATATTATATAAATCATTTTGTATGGATACAGTAAGAAATATCTTAAACTTATAGAATTGCTCTCCTAGGGCCATCTCGATCTCAGACTACGGTGCTCAGGCCAGATAGTCTTTCCCACCCCTAACAGGATCCTAGTCTTGTCGTTACCTTTGGATCATGACAGCATTTGTCTATGATCAAACTCTTAACTTATAGTTAAGAATCGTGGCACTTTGGCCTGGCCCATTTCGCTGCCAGGGTAGCTCACTGCTTGCCCTGGGTCCATTCAGTCCCTCGTCGGGACCCTGCTTTTGGGGTGTTAGGAACTATGGGCAACTGAGGCTTAAGTCGAGAAAGATGATGCCCGGGAGTGAATAATATTCAAGGCCAATCAAATCCTAAATTACAAAGCATAATGTTAACGGTCTTCCTGTATCTATACAAAAAGGATATTACTTTAAAGTAAACTGTTCGTAAGGCATAAGGAGAGGAGAAAGGCAATATTTCACTCATACATATAAAATCATAGATTTCTGGGAAACTGATCTTACAAACTAACAAAGTCTGATTAAGGGGAAAGCTGATTAACTGGGTAGGAAGGAGAGCATAGCAAAGACTGTTTACATGTTTACATGTAAACACAATGGAAGTGGAAGTGCCTCTGGAGCACTGTGGTGGGTGTAACCAGATAAAACCTAAGCTTCTTGAAGGACAAAGCAATGTTACCCAACACTTCCTAATTTTGAAAATGTTTTAATTCTTAGGCATAAGTTTCCTGCTATTATTTCTTTTTTAAATTTTTTATTTATTGAATCACCGTGAGAACAGTCACAAAGTCTTTCAGTTTAAGTCTCGGTCAGTCATACAATGATCAAACACCTATCCCTTCAATGCACATTTTCCACCACTAAGGACCCCAGTATACACCCCCTCCCACCCTTCCCCCTGCCTGTGTGGCAGATTTCCACTTTATTCTGTACGTTGATCACATTCAGTATTACGACAGAAGACCCACCATTATTATTTGGAATTTTCCCCAACAATCAGACCTGCCAAAAAGACATCATTAGATCATTTGTTTTCTATTGCTGATTATGAAACACATAAGATGTTGCGGCCGCTATTGCAGCCACGTGATTTTATTTTTTTTTCTTTTTTTTTAAATCATTTTTTTTTATTAGTGAAACACCATGAAATACATTTATAGACTTGTAAATTTTTGTGCTTGGGTTTCAGTTATACAATGATCAAGTACCCATCCCTCCACCAGTGCCGATCCTCCCCCACCACGGGTCCTAGCATCCCCCCGTCCCACCCTGCCGCTGTGGCAGGGCATTCCCCCTTGTTCTCTCTCTCTTCTTTTGGGTACTGTGTTTTGCCAGAGAGGCATTGAGTGGCAATCATGTTTGGTCTATAGACTACTTTTAGCATGTCTCTCCCACCCTGGGAGGGTCTTCACAACACCCTTTATTTGGTGCTCTCTTCTCTATCTGAACTTCTTTTCATCTAGCACATGTGGCTGGCCTTCAAGTCATGGAGCAAAATTCCTGGTACTAATCTGAGCCATTCCTGGGTGTTAGTCTCCTGTTTTGTTGCTTTATGTTCCCCAGATGAATGCAATCTTTCTGTGTCTATCTAGCTCTTTCTGACTCATTTCGCTTAACATGATACTTTCCATGTAGTACCACTTGTATGTAAATTTCATAACTTCATCTTTTCTAACAGCTACATAGTACTCCATTGTGTAAATGTACCAAAGTTTCTTTAACCAGTCATCTGTTCTCGGGCACTCAGGTTTTTTCCAGATTCTGGCTATTGTAGAGTGCTGCAATGAACAAACAATTGCAGATGTCACTTCGACTATACCTTTTTGCCTCTCTGGGATATATTCCCAGGAGTGCTATAGCTGGGTCAAATGGGAGATCAAATTCTAATTTTTTGAGAATCGTCCATACTGTTTTCCAAAAGGGTTGGACCAGCCTGCATTCCCACCAGCAGTGGAGGAGGGTCCCTTTCTCGCCACATCCGCGCCAGCACCTGTTGCTTTTGTTTTTGTGGATGTGGGCCAGTCTCTGTGGTGTGAAATGATATCTCATTGTTGTTTTGATCTGCATCTCTTTGATGATTAGTGATGTAGAGCATTTTCTCATGTGCCTTTTTGCCATTCGGATTTCTTCTTTGCGAAAGTTTCTGTTCATTTCCTCGCCCCATTTTTTGATGGGGTTGGGTGATTTCTTCTTGTGTAGTTTAACCAGTACCTTGTATATCCTTGATGTCAACCCCTTGTCAGATGTGTATTTGGTGAATATTCTTTCCCATTCTGTAGGCTGTCTTTGTATTTTGGTCACTGTTTCTTTTGAGGTGCAGAAGCTTCTTAGTTTAAGATAGTCCCATTTGTCTGTCTCTGTTTTCACTTGCTCGGCCAGTATTGCAGCCACGTGATTTTAGATTTCTTTCTAGTAACAAGTCTGGAGGGATTACTGCCAAAAGCTGCTGGGTTCTGAGATTGGTTTGTGTGCCTCTGGGATCATGGTTATTCTTTCATATCCAATCATAAACTATTCTTTTTCAGATCAACATACTTATTTTTCCCATTTTTTTCCTTTATGTGCTATCTGTTATTTCTCATGAAAATACTAGGTCACCAAAAAGAAGACGGTCTCGATCAGGTTCTAGATCAAGAAGGTCTCGGCATCGACGTTCTAGATCTCGATCCAGGGACAGACGCAGACATTCTCCTAGATCTCGATCCCAAGAGAGACGGGATCGAGAAAAAGAAAGAGAACGCCGGCAGAAAGGCCTCCCTCAGATCAAACCAGAAACTGCTAGTGGTAAATTAACCTTTATATTCTATGCATTTACTGCACAGTTTTATTTTGTCATGGTATAAAAGTGTTTTTATAGATTAGTGGAAGAGCATATACCTTGCATGTATGAAGTCCTGGGTTTTGTTTCTAGTACTGCAAGTGCTAATTTTTTTTTTTAATGCATACTTATTATCGCTGGAGTGATAGCACAGCGGGTAGGGCATTTGCCTTGCACGCGACCTACCTGGGTTCGATTCTCTGTTCTGAGAGCCTGGCAAGCTCATGATTGGGTTAAAAAACTGTTTAATAATCTAGCAGAATACCACTTTTGTATCTTGTTGGCTTTGTTGTAGACCCTTGGATTTACTATTAGGCAGCTAAAAAGTTACAATACAGACATGAACAAAGTTTTAGGTTTTTATCTGCTTTTAGGCAGCCAAAAAATTACAATACAGAGTACACCAGATACATGAACAACATTTAACACTTGGGCAACATTTTAACACTTGTGTTAAATTTTCTTTGTTCCCAGGCTTCATAGGTGGAAATCTTTAATTTTTTTTAAGGCTGTACTTTTTGTGTTTTAGCTTTTCTCCTTAATCTGTATCTTGTCTTTATTCTGGTTCTGTTACGGTAAGTTAACCACTACCTTGGCTCTAGAATTTTTCAGAACTTCCTGGGATTTGCAACTTGATCTTGTGAAATCAGTGTAATTCATGATTATTTTATGTTAATGCAGTGCTGCTTATTATCAGATCTGTATATTTTCATAACTATAGTTTTATTTTCTTTTTAGTGTGTAGCACTACACTCTGGGTAGGACAGCTGGACAAAAGGACTACCCAGCAGGATGTTGCCAGTCTCTTGGAAGAGTTTGGTCCTATTGAAGCAATTAACGTGAGTGTTTGTTAAATTACTTTAATGACAGTGTGAGTCCATACTTAGCATTCTCTTTAGACTTTTCAATCTTTTTCTTTATTCTTTTGTGTTGTTTTACTTTGAGCCACACACCATCTCACAGGCTATTCAAGGCTCTGGGCTTAGTGGTCTTTTCTGGCAATGTCATAGATTGAACCTGGGCCTTTGCATGCATAGCGTGTGGTCAGCCCACTGAGCTATCTCTTGTACCTAACTTAAAATCTTTTTTCTATAGAAGTATATAGTTATGGAGGAGGTTTGTAGATCAGTTCCTAAATAAATAATAATCAAGATGAACCTTGTATTTCCAATTTGTAGGGTGATTTAATTTTAGGATATAGAGCACATTGTGTCACACACACTGTGTGGCGGGGTGTCTTTTGTTGGAACTTGTTGCTATTTTATCTTGTTGCTTCTTTGATTTAGCTATAATTTGTAATGTTAAATTATTTTGGAGCAGATGATTCCTCCCAGAGGTTGTGCCTACATTGTTATGGTTCATAGGCAAGACGCTTATCGCGCCCTGCAGAAACTGAGCCGAGGAAATTACAAAGTGAACCAAAAATCTATAAAGGTATAATTTTATGTGTTGGTAATTTTTTAAAATGTATTGTTTAGCATATTATTTACTTGGTTAAAAACTACATTCTTGGACTTGGAGAACTGCTATCTCCAAGATATTAACATAATTTGGAATGTTAGGCATGTTGCTTGATTCAAAGTATATAATTTATACTTTACATTGTTAGTAGAATACTTCACCTTGTCAGTTTTTTAAAGTTTCTATATTCCATAATTCATTTTTAAAGCTTGTCATCTCAATTTAAAATTATCATTAAATGTTAGAAAGCTATAGGTCCATGGGAATTTTTCCATTAAGAGACTATAGTCAGTGTTTTCTTAATGTCAGGATATCCTGTTCTACTCTTAGATTATACCACAAAATTTACTGGTCTGGTATTGATGAATTTTTGAAGTATCCACCACGTCTTAAAGTGATCCACAGTATGACGAGTGTACATCCTTTTCAAAGTAATGGATATGAAATAGTCATTTTCAATAAACTGGGTTGAATGGCAAGGGTTATTGGAGGAGTAGGATGCTGATGCCAGTCAAATTTCTATTCTAGGACCAAGTGGGATAAAAGGGTAATCCCTTTCCTGGTGCCAAATAAATACAGCTGTGATACCCAGAAAAAAAGCTAGGCCAGATTCCTTGACCCTTGCTGCCTGAGTCTGATTAGAGGAGTGGTGAGCAGTTCATGCACAGTATATAATAATTTTCCTTGTGTCTTTTCTTTTTAACTAACGGTGAAATAGATTGCCTGGGCCTTAAACAAAGGAATAAAGGCAGATTATAAGCAGTATTGGGATGTAGAACTTGGTGTTACGTATGTTCCATGGGACAAAGTCAAGCCTGAAGAACTGGAGAGTTTCTGTGAAGGAGGAATGTTAGACAGTGATACACTTAATCCAGGTAAAGAAACATTTCATTTCTTTCAAAAATTCATCTATTTTTTGTCAGGCTAATAAAATACAAAGTTTATTCTTTGCACTAGGAAGTAGTTTTTCATATTTTTTTCCCAAGTACCCAATGTTATACACTACGGGTTCAATGGTAAATAACAAATGTGGTCTTGTGCTAGTATAGTTTTTATGTAGTGGACAAATGTAGATATGTATAAAATACTTATTGTGGGGATTTTGTTTTGTTGTTTTCGGTCCTCACCTGGCAGTGCTCAGCGCTTACTCCTTGCTCTGCACTCAGTCATCACTTTCTCACAGGTTCAGGGGACCATATGTGGCCTTGAGTATAAAACCTGGGTTGCCTGCATACATGACAAGTGTTGGGTTTGGGGTCACCCTGACTGCACTCAGGACTTTCTCCTGGTTCTGCACTTAATCGATCACTCCTGGCAGGGACAAATACCAGGCCTAGGTTGACTGTATCTAGGGTAAGCGCCTTACCCGCTCTACTGTCTCTCTGGCTGTGGAAATAATTATTCTAGTAGTTGTTGATAAATCTAGTAGTACTAGAATTTTTTACTGAAAACTATACCATGTCAGATGAATGTCATGGAGCCAGTAAGAGTACAGGATTAAGCTGCATGCCTTGCATGCATCCAACTCTGGTTCTGTCTACTTGGTCACTCCTAGTGGTACTCGTGGGACCCTTTGTGGTACAGGGGACTAAATTAGGGTCTGTCACAGTCAAAGGAAGCACCTCAACCCCCAGTACTTTTTCTACAGCCCAAGAAACCATATATAGGATGAGAAGGTGCCATTATTTGTGATTGAGGGTTTTTAAATACTAGATAAGACAGTGGAATTCCAGTAGGCAGCATTACATTGTATATGGGCATGACCCAGACATTGATAGAATAGAGTACAGGCAAGGAGAACAGAGTCACGGAGTGGCATAGCAGAATGGAGTGCAAGTAGACAGACAAACACTAGCAGAGAGAGGGTTTGAGGGCCAAAGCAAGTGATGCTGACAGTCCCGGTACTTCCTCTCTGTTACATGGTGCTTTCACTTACAAGTTTTGAGGCTAGGTTTCTGCTTAAATGGATATGTATTTTGACCTGTGTGCCAAACTTTCTGGGATATTTTGTCCAGAGTGGAAAGAATTCTTCCTCCCAGGATCTTAAATCCAAACAATAAAAGTTGTGCTTAAGAACATAGACCCTAGGGGCCAAAGCAGTAGTGTAGTGGATTGAATCCAGATTCATTGGATTCACTCCCCAGCATCTCATATTGGTCTCCTGAGCATCGTCAGGAGTAACCCCTGAGCATCTCCAGACGTGACCCAAAAAGACACTCCCCTGCTTACACTAACACACGCACACACACATATACAAATGGAACATAGATTCTAGAGCTATATGTGTCTGGATTCAGTCTTATGCCAGTGGGTATTTGCCCATGGGCAAATTTTCCTATATTGTCAGATAAAATAGAAATAGTATTAGAACCTACTATATTCGGATCGAGAAATAAATATAGTATCCTTAGAACTTTGGGAGTGAGAGAAATACTACAGCAGGTAAGGGTGCTTACCTTGCACTTGGCTGACCTAGGTTTGATCCCCAGTACCCCATATGCCTCCTGAGCTCCGTTGGGTATGGTCCCCAAAGAACAACAAAAAGGCCCTATAATAGAACCTTGGCACCATAGTAAGTGTTCTTTTTTATATTTGCTATTGCTGCTCGTTACTCTAGCTACTGTAAAATAAGCATAGGATTTTCTTCTGAGTTTTATATCCTCAATATTTTAAAAATCCTTTCTAGATTTAAAGTTATAAGCTGAACAGGGTAGACATTTACTATTAAATTACTCTCCTTTAATATCCACAGATTGGAAAGGAATTCCAAAAAAACCTGAAAATGAGGTTGCTCAGAATGGAGGAGCAGAACCTTCTCACACAGAACCAGTATCACCTGTCCCTAAACCTTTACCTGTGCCTGTCCCTCCTATGCCAGTTCCTGCACCTATCACAGTACCTCCTCCACAGGTGAGAATGGGACATTGAAACTTGGAGTGTCTGAAAAGGTGTCTTTGTGATTCTGATTGCAGATACATGTCTAGAATCATATCCAAAGCAAATGGTAACAAAACCAGAATAAATGTTAATCAGTGTTTTGTGTTAAAATATTTTAGGCATGACATGCAAGCAGGTTTCTTATATTTTGCTTATAGTTACCTTCCTCCCCCCTTCCTCCCCTTACTGGGTATTTAGGGACTTTATATGTTGAAGGAACTTGAATTTATTTGTGGTGGGGGCAGGGGGTGTTTCAGCCCAAGCCCAGCAATGCTCGGGGCTTATTGCTGTGACGTCTTAACTGTCTGATGGACTATTGCATTCAGAATTTCTAAAAACCCTGAGTTTTGACAGATGTAAATTGCAGTTCAGTTATGTATAGTCAGTAGTGTGACTTTTGGCAAGTCATTTAATTGTCAGGTCCTCCTGTGAATATGCAAATTCCTTTCCTAAATTTGCCTTGGTATTCTCCCTATATTAGAGTTGTTTTGAGTATTAAATGAGATAATCATGTTTCCTATTGCATGATAAACACTAAATGATTAAAAACTTTTCTGATGAAAATTGCAGATTTTTTGACCTATGGTTTGATGTCATTCTTAGAATTTTCTTTTAGTGCCTTTCTTAGTTTCTCACGTTGAATCCAAATCAGGATAATCTAAGTTATCACAAAAGTGGTTTTCTCAAAGTGAGGGGAATATTACTTAGATAGGAGCTATACATGCGCACCCTTCCACTGCAGGTTCTGGGTAAGCTTGAGTGGATGATATTGCTCTTAAACCTGCTGACATGGGTCAGACCATCTCTAAACTGTAGATACCAGAGTTATTTGAGGTTGCACTTTGCCATTCTACATATTTCGGAAGGCATAAATAGCTTGCTGAAGATCACACTAGTACTCTAGTAGTTCATTGGAGGCCAAGCAGCCTTAGGACCTTGTAGTCTTAACCACTTTTAAGGTACCAACAACTCTCCACATTGACTGATCATACCATCTTAATGATGAAACATTTTATGATCATACTATGTCAGGAGACAAATAATTGTTGGTGAAGTGTGATGTCAGTTTGCTGACATAAAGAACAAAAATATGATTCTTTCATTTGACTTACTCACTTGGTATGTAACTTCACATAAGAACAAATTTGTTTTTTTTCTGTGGAGTTCATGCACAATTCAATCAGCCTAATCAGTGACTGAATAAATACCAGTACTCCTACATTTTAAAAAAAAGAACAATTTTCTTTTTAAGAAATTTTTTCCCAATAAGTATATATTTTGTCTTGGTGGTGTGGGATATGCAGACAAGTTCTTGGGGATCTGAAGCTACTCAACAATGTTGTCAGGACCCACCCACTGCAGTGGTGCTCCTGGGGTCTTGGAGTGCCTGGAGTAGAATTCAGGGTCTTGTGCTTGCCATCCCCGTGAGCTATATTCTGCCCACTGTCACTACGTGGTTTCATTTCTTTTCCTCTCCCTAGGTCCCACCACATCAGCCAGGCCCACCTGTCGTCGGTGCTCTCCAGCCACCTGCTTTCACGCCTCCTATGGGAATTCCCCCTCCTGGCTTTGGTCCTGGTGTCCCTCCTCCACCACCACCTCCACCATTTTTGCGCCCAGGATTTAATCCAATGCATTTGCCACCAGGTACACTAAGTTGTTTGAGATGGCAATCTTTAAGAGCCTGAAATGAAATAACACTCCAGTAAGTTGACAGTATTTTTCTTATTCTAGGTTTTCTCCCTCCTGGACCCCCACCTCCTATAACTCCACCAGTATCCATTCCTCCTCCTCACACTCCACCAATAAGCATCCCAAACTGTAAGCATGTTTTTCCTTTGTGTTCACTTGCCCGCTGGAGTTGAGAGTAGGAGGGAGATTTGGGCCGATAATAAGGTCCATAGTATATACGGCAAAATAATGTTGACCAGGGAGATAATTATTCAGCTTCACATGTTGATGTAATTATATTCCTTAGCCACTATCGCTGGTATAAATGAAGACACTACAAAAGACTTATCTATTGGAAATCCCATTCCAACAGTGGTATCTGGGGCTAGAGGAAACGCCGAGTCTGGTGACAGTGTGAAAATGTATGGCTCTGCCGTGCCACCTGCCGCACCCACGAATCTGCCTACCCCTCCTGTAACCCAGCCTGTTTCACTTCTTGGTAAGTTAATTTTTATATCATTGGTTTATTTCCCCCACAAGTTAGCTTTTTTGAAAGTAGCTCTGCTAATTGTGGTAAAATGCTTTCTGAGATTTTTCTTTGAGGAAATTCTTCCTCTTCCTTTGTCTCAAGATACAGTAGACCATGAGACAACTTGAAAGATGAAATCAAGTTGGTTCTGAATAGGAGATTGGAATTGCATGCCTTAGTTTGATCTTGAAAAGTGATTAATCTCTATGCGAAAGAATAGGTAGAAAGCTCCTAATTACCAAAATTCTTGATCTTCTATATTTCTTTGATATGAGAAATTTTTTTTGTCTGTACCAATTTTTACATATTTAAAATGCCCCTGGAGTTTCATAATGTTCTCTGAGCTAGAAAGAAGTGATGTTAGCTATGTTGCAAGAAATGGCTTTGTGATCTGAGTGACATTTTGCAGTCTGGGGCAATGCTTTCTCCCAACCCTTCAGTTTCTCCTTTATGGATTTTTATCTGTTGAGCTCCATTTTCCAGCTATATAGTCAAGGAAAGTATGGTTGACTTTACATGCCTAAGAGGCCTTGCCTTTGCTTGAATTACTAATGAATAATATTGTTTACTTCTTAACAAATAGCCATCTTTTAAATTAATAAATTTTTATTTCTGAATTGGTGCTTCCAAGTGTAACACTTGAATTTCCTAGTGAATAGTTAGTCATCTTTATTTATTATGATATTCTAGTCCTGTAAGCCCACTGTATTTTTCAGAGGTGTATTTGTGTGCATGTTTGCTTCCATAATCTTAGTGTTTTTTTTCTAGGAAAGAGCATATTGATTGCATTTGAGAAGTAGGGTTTTGGGGCATTGGTTTGTGATGTAGGGCTTTTACTTTCCATCTTCACCTGTTGGAAATTTTTACTTTGTGCATGTACTATATATACATAATAAAAATTTGTTTTTAAATGGCATGCTGTCTTCTACCCTCTCCAAGACTGAGCTTAGCCTTACAATAAACTTGAATTTTACTTCTCTTAGTACACGGACTGGGTAAAATTGGCACAAGTAATATAGCAAAGTAGTCATCATCATGATGGGAAATGGTTTAATAAGGGTGTGTTCAATAGATCTCTGTCCTAACAAATCATATGCTAGATGGAGCTGGAAAATATTAACATCTTCAGGGAGATCACTTTTTCTATCTCTCCCGTTTGAAATAAGATCATTGCACAGCACAGAATAATCTTGAGCCTTAGAGAATTTCTGATCAATGCCATTCCTTCACTTCATGCCCACACCCCTGATTATGAATTCTCTTTGAAATGAAATTAGCCTCCATGGATTATAGACCAGCTGCAGTTAAGAAAGCCTGTGTATATTATGCTGCCTACCTTGGCTTAGTAGAGTCCTTGAGGGAACAAAGATGTCATCGTCTCCAAGAGTTTAATAGTCATTACTTTCAAAATTCTTGACGAAACAGACAGAAACTGTCTCTGATTTAACACTTCAAACTCAAAAATTCTGCCATTTATTTCACATCACTACTGTAGTATGTGATTTAAGTCTATCCAACACATGAAACAAACGACAGGCGAACATATGGTGAGCGTGAAAAATTAACTGGATAAGCTAAGCACTTCTAGGGGGAAAAATTAAGTATTTTAACATTTGTCATTACCTGGCATTTCATTGGATCCCCGTCTCCCTAGAATGGAAGCTCCAGAAGAGGTATATTTGCTTTATGAGTGAGTGTATGGGTGATGGATGGATGGTTAGTTGGCTGGTTATCATTGCAGAGGTGTTTATATCCTTATTATCTTTGTCCATAATTATTGATGCAAAATTTAGGAATATAAGGCTATTTCAAATCTGAGAGGTTAAAATTTGGCTTAGCATTAAAAAACACTTAGAACTAAAGTGCAGTATTTCAGTTCCATTTATGATTTTAGCCTTCTGTCTGGGCCCAAGTTTCCGAATATCAAGCTTGTACCAGTGGGATGGACATTGCAGATAGTAGCCTTGGCTCCTGTGCCCCAGCTCTGCTGGGGGTTGATTCTTTTTACCAAGAAACCACTTGCATTCCTTCTCTTAGAAATCCTGAAGAGAATAATCAGGGAATTTGAGAAGTGATTTTTGAATGTCTGTAAATAAAGGAGGGTTTTTCAAAAATCCAAACCTAGCCTTATTATTTTGGTAAAAGAATAAAGTAATCATGTGCCATAAGTAGCTACAGCTCTGAAGGATGGGTGGTAAGGGATGTTCTGGCTGTTAGCCACAGAGTGGAGCAGTAGAACTCTGAAGTTGTTTCCAGGTTTCCCCTGGGTGCTTCAGTGTTTCCTTTTATGATAACAAAAAGAAGTGTTTTGTTGCCCTGGGTAAATTCCAACCTAAACCTCTATACTCAACTTCAGTTTATTTGTAAATAAAGGATATTCCACGCTAGGAATGATTCAGTGGGTTAACACTTAAAAAAAAACAGCTGCTGCGGGGCTTGCCATGGAGTCAGCATTCAGTGAATTGGTGGGACGGGTAAGGAATCGTAGATATGTTTGGAATACCTCAAGAAGAACGTTTTTATTTGTAATTCTAAAATGGTTAATTTAACTATGATTTGGGTTTTACCTTTTATTTAAACCATATGCAGAGGAAGCAGACTTTTTAGGGAGGGGAAGTCTTAGTTGCCTCAAGTATTTTTATGATAGGTTAGAGTGGATATAATAAGTTCGCACATTTATGTGTCATCAGTCGACTTACTGAGAAAATACATTGGTCATAGTGATTTTAGTTAAATAGTTTAACATGAAGTATGTCTTTTTACCTATAAATGATACTCAGCTTTCTTACAATGGAAGGTTAATACGTCACTGAGACTTAACTGTGTTCTTGTACCTTAATCTCTGAAATGTGACAGTGACATTGTTAAAATACCAAGAGCTAAACAGATGTTCAACAGATCTCCCAAAATTCTAGAGTGAGTCTTAATTATACTTGTAGGGGTCTAAGGGGTGTTCTAGGTACGTTTGGTTTAAAGAATTTTTTGAATGACAGACTTCAGTGTGCCTTATTTTGTTAATGATGATGATCTACGTCTGTGATTGGACTGGGGCCTGAGGTGGCCCGCATTGCCAAATTTATTGATAATTGTACCTCCATTGGGGGGTATTATTTGAGTAACTGATATTTTAAAAAGTATCATTTATTTGATGCACAGTAATAATTCATCATTACGTGGTCTTAAAATTCTTTAGTAACTTGCACTCCAAAATAACTAGCAGGACAATGGTGATTTCGTAAAAACTAAAGGAACAGTCTACAGTTGTTGATCCTTTAGGAGAGAAGGAATATTAAAGATACAACAATTCAGCTTTTTCTCTTTACTGTTTAAGTGTATGTACTTTATAAAGAATTTGTATTCCATGTATCTAATATGATGTAAAGCTTATTTTTATTAAAAATTTATTGTAAATGTGGATTTGGGTTACTTCAGTGTTCTAAACAATAAAAAAAAATACACCAAAAAATGTTTGTTTGTGTTACGTATCTCTATTCTGTTACACTATATCCAGAATACCCTTTAAAGGAAAAATATGCTAAGTTGGATTCAGTCCTTCTGTGGAAAATTAAAGCTGCTTCTCTTGCCAAATACATTTATTCATTTTCAGTATGCAAAGATTCTCACCATTTTGTCACACTGCCATAGATAATGGTGAAATCGATGACTGAGAAAGGGGTATTTGTAAGATTGCTTCCTGAAATTTGTTACTAAAGATGGAAAACAGAAGCCATAAATTGGTGATTTGCAGGTTGTTATTAGACAGTAATACATACTTCAAGCTTACTCTTTACACATACCTGCATGGCCTCACTTTGAGTTGATGTTTAAGTTGATGTTCCCAGATGTGGACACAGGAAATTTATGGACAGAATTGGTTTGTGGATATTTAAACAGGTGGTTTTCTCTTATGCAATATTTAATAATACTTAAAACTTCCTAGATGATTAGCAATTTCACTGTTCAGTAATTACTTTAAAACTGGTGTTTGTTTTGTGGTTTCACTTAGTTTTGAATTTCTGTTTACAAAATTTTTGTTTCTTAATGTGTTTAGTAACTTCTAACAGTGTTTCAATTAGACCATAAGAGCACCAGTCTGTTAGTATAAATAACATTCAAAGGAAACCTGTAGATAATTCTAAAAAGTCTAGGATCTTTCCCATGATGTCTGATGAATTTATATGCATTATTATTTAAAAACTTAATTAAAAAATTTCAAATTTAAAATAATAATTAAAAATATTTAATTTAAACAATATTTTTTAAATACTGTATTTCAGTATTTTTTAATCGTGAACTTGAATGTGTTATTATAGTAAATAAGAGGGCTTTATGAGGTGTTTGATTAAGTACCTCCAAAAACCTGTTGACTTTGCTTATTCTCAAAAAGTGCTTCACAGTGGGGCTGGGGTGATAGTACAGTGGATAGGCATTTGCCTTGTACTTGGCAGACCCAGGTTTGATTCCCAGCATCCATATGGTCCCCTGAGCACCGCCAGGAGTAATTCCTGAGTGCACAGCCTAGAGTATCACTGCATCTCCGGGTGTGACCCAAAAAGAAAAAAAAAGAAAGTGCTTCACTTGGAAAGTTTTTAAATATTTGGTACTTTAAAAATACTGCTTTATTATTATTCCATTGGTATTTCATAATAGAAATGGTTCTCAAATAGTCACCAGTGTGTCTTCACCATAGTATTATTCTGTGGAGCTTATGTGTAATTAGCAGTAATAACTCCACTACTAATGTTTTCCTTGGATATGAATTTCTGTGTGAATATACTTATCCTCTCAGAAGATGAAGCACCTCAGACCCAAGGAAGGGCTTCAGCAAAAACTTGAAGCCACTTAAAACACATTGTCTCCATCTCCTGAGCTTCTGAGCCTGCAGAATTCCAATCTTAAAAGTGTCCTCTGAGTGTAAATCTCTCTTGGATAGCCACGTTTGGGGCCTTGAGAAAGGTGGGAGGGCCAAA